GGGGGTACTACATCCCCACCTTACCCAGACCAATTTTTTTGATTTTACATACCCTACCCCAGACTAAAGGTACAATAAAGGTACATTATTTTAGCGCTGAAAGTGTGGCCTAGCAGATATGTTCACAGGCAAAACTCCACCTTACCCCAGAAAATGAGAATATACCCTCGTAGACAAAAAAACTACCCTATCGCAGACAAAACTACTACCCTAACCCAGACAAATGCACTAGTGAAGTTAGTTCCATTGTCTCTCACACCGGTTCTTGGTAAGCCGTATGTTGCGAATATCTCCATGAGCTTCTCTATATTGAGAAGTTATTGAATTCATTTGACGTACTTCTAACCCATGATTTTGAGCCTGCATCCACGAGGGCTGTAGGGTCCAACGAAGTCGATGTGGATCCTGGTCCGAGGTTCTTTTGGCCACTCCCAGGGGTGCAGTGGAGCTTCCGCCGGTCTTATATTTTGGGCAATGGAAAAGGCCAGAAAAAAATGCAAGAAGCTTCCTCTATTTATAATGTTCTCCTGTTTTTGCTACTGTACATAAATGCAGCCTTTTCGATTTCAAATTTAGGTTTTCAGCTATGTCAACCATCTACATGATTTAGTAGATTTATATACAGCTGCTTTTGCATTGGTTGCATTGATCTTTGAAAAACAAAGTAGACATTTTTTTCAGTTAAAAAATCTTAAAGGACTCTAAGAGTTCACAAATCGTTATTTTTTTTTTCTCTTTGGTTTTCAGTACAGCCTGCTAGAAAATCAGCTTTTCCTTGCTGTAAAAATATTGAAGTGAAAAAGCGGACTGTTTCCTAAAMAGTTTCCTAAACAGGATAAACAGTTTCCTAAACAGGATAAACTTGACAAACCCTCAAACTAGTTTTGACTAGTTTTTCTTTTCTCTTTGATCGCTTCTTTGATTAACTAGTTTTTCTGGATGTGAATGCAAACACGGCAATCTTTCGGAATGCTACAAAAACGTGTGAATTTTTCAGAATTTTTTCAGAATTTTTTGAAGAGCTGAAAAAAGTTGCCAGGGCTATATCTGTAGAGAACCCTCGGAACGAGGTTGGCAAAGAATCAGGCAAATAAGGCGCGCGGCTGCGGTTTTCTTGTTATGTCTTCGTCCCCTTTCTTATTTATTCATCAATATATTTACGAATTGATAAAATACAATAAAAGTACAGAAAATAATTCCATAAATAAAGCACCTATTGCTTGTGAAAAGGAGAGAACGAATGCGCAAGCTTTCATGTACCGCCGCGCTCTTAGCAAAATGCGATTACCTGTGGCACTACGTCACGATCCCGTGTCTCGCGGGTTACATGCTATAGCCTATGACAAGGTGTGAAACACTGGTCACGTGATGGATCGATGTGTGCACAAGGTTCGACCAAAGTAGATGGGACAGTCATTGCGTGGCAGTTGATACCTTGAGCTTGTTCACAATGTCTGAACGTTCTCAACAAAGTGGTAAGTACTATGATTGTCGAATTTGTACAACCGCGCCTATTTGTCCATGTACGAGTGGTATTGCCTCACTTCACTGTGCAAAAAGGCTGAGTATAGATAGATAAATGCCTTTATTGATAAGATATTATTCATTCTAAGGCTGAATTACAAGACTATAAAAGTATGACTTTCAAACTGTGTAAAAATGTATAAGAAATTACAAAGTGGGGTGAGATAGTTGTAGCTAGTTGTGATTCTAATTCCTGCTCAGGGAAAAAAGGTCGAACTAAAACCGTTGGCACGCTGACTTCTCACTTGTTCTGCGACATTCGTTCTTATAGCTGGTAGAAAACTACGAAGTTTGTGTTCAGGTTCGGAAATYATCTGGTAAATAGCTTATGGTAGTGATTGTTASGTATAACGGGTTTTCTAAAGTTTCTARACTATASTATTCAGTATTCAAGTATCCGTAGGAGACGCCTTCGAATGACCGTTCATATTCTTCACRCTTTGCATACTCRTATGACGAATGAAAAATGGTCCCATGTGGATTCATCTTCATTGCGTTCTGKTTCATTGATACTGACAATTTGTCTCTAAATAGCCGCTATTTGTTGGTATTTAGTTTKATTTTATTTCATGGTTTTCCTACATTTGCTCTATTATCATTTGTAAACCGCACTTATGCTTACCGAACAAACTAAATGCTAAATTTCCGATGCAATGATAAAAATATTCAAAAACAACGATGCCATGAAAAGATCATGTGCGCAAAATCTATCAAATCGATCCGGTGGCGCTGGTAAAAATATATACCTATTTCAAAAAATGTTGTCGTCGCCAGGACACAGTCCATGGTCTTGAGCCTGCAAAGAATCTCGGGATTGCCATATAAAATTATATATTTAATTTTTAGTTATTTAAAAAATACTCCGATTTAGAGTTCTGGTTTAAAACCAAACAACTTATTCTTTTGTTTCATTGATAGCCCGAGAAAACGCATGGAATTTGAAAAGGGAGACGATAGAATTGATTTGAAATATCACACTTTTATTCGGCACAATTAGGAATATTTTGCGCACAAATGAGGCTGACACAGAGCATTAGAGAATTCGGAACTGGATTATTCTCGGTCTCGTAGCGAATATAGCTTTGAAACTCATTGACGGTTTGAAAGCGTGGAATATTTTTCAAGGAAAATGTCTCGTGGCGAGACATGCCCGCTATAGTATATTAGTAGTGTTTGCCGGCGTTGAATTCAAACCACAATATATTTTGAATATATTAATTACGCATGGAAACCCCGAGATTCTTTGCAGGCTCAAGACTGTGGACTGTGTCGTGGTGACAACAACGTTTTTTGAAATAGGTGTATATTTCACGGCAAAACTGGACACGGTATGTTCCACGAAGTAGTTCTTGTATTATGTAATGCGTAAGCTTAACACCTAGTTCATTTAACTCCTTGGCCGGGTTATTCAAAGCCTGCATTAGAGTTAATCCAAAGTTAACTCCATAGGTTTTCTAAGAGTTAAACCCAGGATTAAATAGCGCTAGTCGGGCTTGAACAACCTGTCACTGAAGATTTAGGCTTCGCCTCATATAACAGACCTGTAGAAGTTTAACAAACGTTTATTCATAAGCATTCTATACATATCCTAGCCCTGCATTGTATTCCATGTTGAATAACTCCGCCTGTTACCATCTAGCAGATATAAATATTCGATTCTACCGCAGGGGTAGAAACACACCGCGTGTATAGATCACTCGCAAAGACTTCAGTGGGAGAGATTCGTGGTATTTTAAACAATTAATTGCACAAATTCGGAAAAGATTCACAGTTCGCCAGCCAATCCGAATCGAGAATTTTATGTAGGTGATATTATCTTTAAATTTCATATCAATCTTCTTTTCATCCATTTTCAGATTTGACATTTCATACATTAAAAGAAAGCGGAAAGGAGTTTCTTGTGGACTCACTTGGTTTTAAATATGGAGTACATAGAAAAACTCAGACAACAACACACTGGAGATGCACGTCAAGATCGAAACACAATCCGTGTAATGTAAGAATGACACAACGAGGGGAAGAATATAGTATGCCGGGATGTAGCATTCATAACCACCCTGCATCCATTAATGTCGATCAGGTAAGAAAAATTACGAAACATTACAAAAGACTTGGAAATCAAATAGAACTATCCCTATGGGTCTGATAATCATGAAGCAACAGATTTCAAGAAGATATTGATACAAATCCTTAATAATTTGGGCAAAAAATGTTGGAGTAAATGACGTCATTTACTCAATCCTTAATTGTTCTTCCATCTTTTGAATCAAAATTTCTCTGATGTGGGATAATTCCAAAACAAATCTTTTTCCCGCAATTGTTTTTAAAAGATATAAATGAGTCATATATTCGTATTGCTTGAAGTTTTGAAATAAGAGCATTTTCAAGCAAGTAGCACTTTAAAGGCTCTCGAACCCCTTTTAGATCGAAAAAAAGTTTTATCAGATGATTTTAAGCTGAACACCTTTATAGCAGATTTGTAATTTATTTAATTATAATTTTTCCCTATCTTTTTAGACATTATTACTCATATTGGTATTTTCTTTTAGAATACAGCTTTGCAAGAGGCAAGATGCAAAAAGATCGGTGAACTCAAAACAAAAATGGTAGAAAAAGAGGAAAAAGTAAAATCGTTAGAAGAGGAGGTAGGAAAGAAAAATGTATTATAACACTACGAAAATGCAAGCAGGAAGGACAGCAGGAAGTTGTTTAATATTATTATAATTAATATAATAAGTCCAGCCGTTTATTACTCATATTGGTAATTTCTTTTAGAATAAAGCTTTGCAAGAGGCAAAGAAAAAGATCGGTGAACTCNTGGTTAGAAGAGGAGGTAATAAAGAAAAATGTATTATAACACTACGAAAATCGTATCAATGAATGGGTATAATTAGGCAATAATTAAAAATTGAGATTTGAAGACCAGCGATTAAAATTGTACAAAAACAGGTATAACTTTACATTGGTAATACAAGAACTATTTATAAAAAAAAGAAAATTAAAGAAAAACTTTGAAGACTTTGAAGAGTTTTTGCTCTCCCCTATTGAACCACAATGAACCATCGTGCAAGAAATGCGGCGTCTATTTTTAGCTTTAAGTGCGGCGTCTACTCCAGTAGTCCAAGTCAAACGACAACACAGGTAGCCCAGAAAGCACAAGAACTATTTATAAAAAAAAGAAAATTAAAGAAAAAACTTTGAAGACTTTGAAGAGTTTTTGCTCTCCCCTATTAAACTCGTAACACTTCTATCCCTTAACTCTCTCTTTTGTTCTCAAGTTTATTCACAGATTCGAAGAATTAAAGAATTAATGACAAGACATAACAAAGAAATACGTTTGAGAAAAAAATACTTAAACGAACTTTTAGATTTGAAAGGAAACATAAGAGTTTTGTGCAGAGTAAGGCCTCTCATTCGCGAGGATGGCGACTCAACTCAAATCGTCTCCTTCGATCCCAGTGATGACGGGCGACTAAGTCTTTTTTCGAAGGGGTCTCTAAACACTTATGAAGTTGATAAAGTTTTCAGGCCCGAATCTACACAAGAACAGGTACGTATAGCAGTTGTCTGTCAAAATAACAGCTTACTTTATGGTAGTATGAACTGAGATATTTTAGAAAAGGCTTGAATACTGACACGGGATAGTCTATTCCAAAAACGATGCATTACTGGTCCATTTTATAGAATGACCTCACCAGTTCCATACATTCAAGAATTTCGAATGAAATGATAATGCAAACTTAGGAAAGAGTAAATTATCTAAAAATGTTTAAATAAACAAATCTTTCAAATGCAAGAACATTTTTTAACGTCTAGGCGCGCGTAAGAACCTGGGACATTCATAGCCTGGGCTCGTTTCGAATAGAACAAAAGTGAATTTATTCGGCTTTGGCGGTAAAATTTCCCGCGTATAAAACGCATGGTTCGCGTTTGGTCAAGTCTTTTCCATCGCGCTTCAAAATGAAGAAGATAAGAGAGAAGCTTATGGGAATATTAAAACTATTAGTCTATGTTTTCAGAGAAGGTTTTCAGTCATTATAGACATGTTAGGGGCTATATTATACTGGAGCTGCCACTGTTCTCATTATGTCAGCTGGTCGTGGACTTGGAATGCAATCCGTCAGCATCATATTGTCGTAATCATTATCAACAGTATTTTTATTAATTTAACAACTGTCTTCCATACTTCAGGTTTTCGATGAAGTGAAGCCATTGATCATGGCATGCATTGATGGCTACAATATATGCATATTTGCATACGGCCAAACAGGAGCCGGTAAAACATTCACTATGGAAGTAAGTAAACCTCACTTAGTCGCGCGGCAATCCATTGAACCTAATCCATGAACGCCTTTTAAAACCGAGTGAGTTGTAGAAGACTTTCAGAGTTTAGGTTTTTTTGAGAGAAGTCCTCCGAGTTCTTTTGTGCGGACGGGACATGTAAACTCTCCTTTAAAGTCTAGTTGTTTTCAAAACGTGTAAAATCCCTGTAAAGGACTAATACCTCAGTCACCTTGAAGAAGAACTATCCACGAATAATTACTGATACCAATCGTAACCAATCGTTTCCCTCTGCATTACATCAAAAAATACAGACAGAAACAGGATAGTCAGCTGCAATATTAATATATCATTGTTTGGCATCTGCAAACAGCAATTATATTAAAATGCCAGACTTAAAGGACGACAGCTGTTTTATAGTGAGACCACTTTCACAAATGTCTACTATCGATTTTATATGATTGGAAATATGAAAGAAACTTTCAGCAATGCCATATTGAACAACTATCCAAAAAATAATTGTGAAAAATGTTGAAGATATAGACTAAATATGATACTAACGAAGCTATAGAGGAATGAAAATACAAGGGTTTGTATGGAATTCTTTACTGAGGCCTTGGTGGCCTCGTTTTGGTGTTTTTGTGCATCTTCCAACCCTTATAACTTCCAGAGGATTTAATATTTTTCTTTGAGACTTTCAGAGCTTATCTTTAGCTTTGATATATATATCATCTGAGTGTTTTTTTAATCATCATTATGAATTTGATAAAAATGATGTGGTAATTAGTTTCGGCCATTTTGTGAAAGTCGTGTTGAATATACGGTTCCCCATCAGCTGCCTGCATTTTGCGTGCCTCAGTATTCATCTCTCAAAGATTTTTACTGAAATAGAAACTAATTGTTGTCTGTTCTTCATCTTTTTATAATAAATCAATATGTCAAAAACATTGTTTAATCTCAGGGAACACCACGAGACCCTGGTATAAACAAAAGATCCGTAAAATTCTTGTTTGATGAAACCAGTTGGCGCAGTGACTGGCTGTACACTATCAGTGTCAGTACACTGGAAATCTACAATGAAAAGCTACACGATCAGCTGACTGGAGATGACGCCAAGCTTGATATTAAGCAGGGTAGAGAAGGAATGTACGTGCCTGGTCTTACGGAGGTTTCGGTGTCCAACATCGAAGATTTGAATGACGTATGTTTTCATTTAAAGTGTTGAATATAAGTATTAATAGTTTAAATAACGTCCTCTGTCTCTCGATTCTATTAGTCCTTGTCTTTACTTATACTTGCTTACACTTGTGATGTTTTCTCTTGCTCAGTCTCTCTGCAGTTTTCATTCTTCGCTAAAATCCTCCTGTTATGATATTATTTCTAAATGATATTCATTTCTATCTTCGTCCACTCCAACGATCGCTCCTACCTTCCTTGTATACTTGTTGATTTTCACTTAGTCTCTCTTCCTTTTGGATGCAAATGAATTGCTAATAGTGTCATGTGCACTTGAAATATATAAGTAAACTAAATTGTTATGTTCTCTATTAGATACTTGAGCTTGGTAAGAAACAAAGGGCCACAGCAATGACACAGATGAACGAGCATTCATCGCGTTCACACGCCTTGCTTTGGGTGACGGTCGATGGTGTTAACAAGACCACGGGTGTCAAGACGACAGGTCAGTCATAGCTAGCAAAAAGGCATGATATATAGTTTATCAAAACTGCAAAAGATAAAAATTAAAGTTATTATAACTATCGGATAACACGGTAGTTGTACCATCACTTCAAACAGGCCAACGTCCAAAATATGTGTAACACTTGTTTATCAGGCGCCGTTAACTCACATCATGTCTTGTTGCACAAAATGCTGCACCTTACCTATGAACTTTATACTATTTGACGCTCTAGCTATATCTGCAACATCGGTACCTATTTAGACCAATTCTCAGTAATAGTTATATATTTCATCAATCCGTTTCCATTGTAAAAACGCGCATATAAGTACCTGCATTTGTGGGAAGTAGCATAAACAGGTTCTTATATAAGGGACTGCGCAATATTTATCTTTATTTTTATATGAGAAATGAGGCAAAAATCAAAAAAGTTAATTCATAACCCCTACCCGTCGGAAAAAAATTAATTACGCTCGTCCCCCCTGAATTTATCGCCCCCCCGTTTATTTAGAATTTGTGAATAAAGTGGCACGCTTTTCTTGTGAAGTTTTGTAATCGACCGTTACCCCTCTCTGGATTCCCAACCGCCCTCCTGATAAATATTGCGCACTCCTTAAAAGGTAGTTAACACAATTTTACTTAAAATAGAAGTGGTTAAGTATGTTAAAATGTAATCTCTAGAGAATATATTGAATATTGTAATTTATTTAAATTGTTAACTTAGTCCAGTCAATACACTGATGGACGATGATGTCGTCCGAAATATATGTATTAAGACACTTTCTTGTAATTCTCTTTGTCTACTTGAAATAGGTTTTTAATTCTAGAGTAAAGCAGATAAAACTTAGCTTCAAAACAAGATGGTTATTTGCCTATTTCCTGACTCAGCCCCATCTCCATTTCTATTTTTTTTTTTGAACAACTCTTTTTACAGTAATGGGAATCTGCTTTTTCTTCAAATGGTTTTGCTCTGCAGCTGTTCTTAATTTAGGCTAAATAGGTTCTCTTTATAGGGGGTAAAACATTCAAATTTTAGGCTAACAGTTTCTTAAGTTTTAGGTTCTTATGTGTGGGTTTCTACTGTATTCGTTCTGTTTGTAATAATTATTATTTTATTACTTACTCAGGGCTCCCATTGATATCAGTTACCCCCTTGGGTTCTGACGGGGTTACCCTGAGTTTTTACATTTTATGTTTAAATAACGGTTATATCTATCTAACCTGAGTAGAGTACAAACACTAAAACTGTGCAACATAATTAGAGTGCACGCCAAAAAAGCGTGAGATAATTCTTAACTATCAACATCTAATAAGATTTAGTTATTTGTTTTTATTTTATTAAGATACACAAACTGGGAAATAACTATGTCGATATATATAATACGTACATTGGACATAAGACGATATTTAAGTGGTTCTAGAGTGGTTTCCATTAACCCGTGAAACACACTTTAGCGTATTTTTATCGCTATTACACTTTGGCTGTTTTGTTTTTTATTGTCTCTACGCGACTATTACGATCTATTACACCCTAATTATTACACTTTGTTTCACGGGTTTATGAAAACCACTCTAATGTAAAACGATTTTTGATAAGTAAAAGTCCTGCATTTTTTAAGTACATAAAATTGAGAGCTATAGATATGGATGATCGTGTACTACGCGCGCTAACCCGCACGACAGGAACAACAGACGGATCTAAGTTAATCAAATTCTGTATAAAAAAGAATACTAGGTCTAGGAGCTCAGTAGCAAACAGGAAGTAGATTTACAGAGACAAGACTTTGTTTATAAGAAATATTGGTTATAAAGGCAAGCGAAGAATGAATTTAGTGGCACGTCTTTGAATATTTTCGAGTCTGGAAATTAGTTCAATACCTTGGGGCGCCCAGACCTGAGCACGCACTAGCCCGAGGTATAATGTGCGCCTTACGGAAGTACTGCGTGCGAATAAACCTAGAGTTCCTTCTAACGTAGCCTAGCAGTTTGTTCGCGCGAGCAGCTTGATGGCAGTTATCAACCAACTAACTAAGAATTCACTGGGCCATGAACACAATGCCAGAAAGGAAAGTTGTCTTTGTTTATGTCTCACTAAATTCTTAGTTAGTTGATAGTCTAACTAAATCTTATTGTTTCATGCTTATGTGGCGTGCACTCGAAACTAAATACTCGGCTAAATTATGGCGGTAATTCTATTGTTTTCTATTGTTTAACACTATTTTGCAGTAAATAGCTGCTATTTGTTCGTATTTAGTTTGATTTTATTTCATGGTTTTCCTGCGTTTGCTCTAGCTGTCTGTATGATATTTGTAGGAAAGCTGAATCTTGTTGATCTTGCTGGAAGCGAAAGAGTGTCTAGAAGTGGAGCCGAAGGTGAAAGACTAACTGAAGCAAAAAACATAAATTCTTCTCTGTCCAGCCTGGGAGATGTAATGCATGCCCTTAACAACAAGTCAGCCCATGTTCCATACAGGAACTCGAAACTCACTTACCTCTTGAAAGAATCACTCGATAAGATGGCTGGCATCATTAAGACCCGTTTACACTTGGGATTTTTGCAGCGCGATTTATTAAATCATACCATTAACTATGATTAAATTGTTGCGCTACAACCGCTACTTTGTTCTTTGTTATGTTGAGTTTTGTTTAATTGTTTGGATGTATTGTTTGTCCATTGTTTTGTCAACCTATCGCGCGTGAGATTCGTTCTGATCGGTGCTACCTGGCTCTTCTCGGCCCGATACACATGTATAAAGTGTGATAGGTATAAACTAATGTCAGACGCTTCTGCAGGTGGAGACTCGAAGACGCTCATGGTCGTAAACATTTCACCGGCAGAAAAGGACGCCTCCGAGACTATTAGCAGTCTTGTCTTTTCAAATAGAGCTCGAAGCGTAGAACTTGGSCAAGCAACCAGCAAAAAGTCCAAGTTGAAGGACTGGGTAAGGGAATATGAGGTTTGTAAGTATGAAAGTTGGATATTTTTGGACTATTTATTATTATATCTGGTGCTWCTACGAAACTATGGTAACTTTTTGCTTACCTTTGAACATAATTTCCCGTAATTTGTTGCTTTGAGCTACTTTCTTTCCTTTTACCGTATGCCAGTGGTGTAATCCTCACTACACGATCCTCTTCCCCGTTTCATGATTTTTCATRCCGCAACCTGTTGTAAACATTCTCCATTCTAAACCAATTTCTACAAAATCTTCTTGATCTTACTTGACACAGTTACTGCCTTTTGCTGAGATMAATGATAGGTTTTCAAACAGAGCGTGGGTGATCTTTTTGTCTGGGGCATGCGATAGTTTATATCCCTCCGAACTCCTAAGATATACCATGCGGATGATAAGGTTCAGTGATAGAGTGAAGAGTCGCACACAGAAAGACTCTMCTTGCAGAATTCCTCTATTGACTTTGATGGGATCAATGGTTTCTTTGCATTTGTTAGTAGGGAAATTGGTTAGGGAAATTAAGATTGTACTTAACTCGGCGATTTCTTCCCTTTATGCCGCCAAAATCAAATTAAAACCCCAAAACGTTTAGCATTGAGCAATATGTGCTGAGCTTGTTCGTGCAGGCAAAAACACAACACCAGTTGGGTAAATAATGGCTATGTCGTGGACATAGCCGCTCTTTAATTATGACAAAAACCATAAAACTTAATATATATTATATATAAAAAGTACAAACTACTATAACATCCCTGCACGAAGGTGAGGGCTCAAAACAGCACTTCCGGGACATAAGCAAGAGGTGGTCTGGGGAGGAGGAGGGAAAATTGATAGAATTACCTCTACCCTACCACCGGAAGCTGACGTCACCGGAAGTAGACTAACATGATTAAATATTGCTAAATGTAATCTTTTTTCGCCATAAAATTCATTTTGTTGGATAAAATATTATTTATTTTTCCAAACCTTGTTGTTGTTGTTTGCTTTTTTTGTTATATTTTTTTACCTGGGCGTTCTGCCCTCAATTTCTAATTTCCGTAATTCTTGTCTTTCTTGCTTTTTCCTGTTTCCTCTCTATGGACTTTGACTTGTCTGTGTCTTAGTGYCGTCTTATACATTTGCGCCGTTTACTAACATTGTTTGTTTGTTAACAAGGGAACCCCATCGAAGGGAAGCCCCTTACCACGACCACATACTCCWTTCAAAGCCATCAATTCCMCATTTGTGAGACGTCAGCCTTTCAAATAATAATTCAACCCGAATGGTACGTATGATTTATAATATATCTATAATTTCAAATAAACTTAAGTGCATCTCGTAAATTTAGACCGCTATTGTGGTCTTTTCACGTTGTTTTCGAAAAAAAGCATCTCATACCTTTACTAATAGGAAAGAGAGTTCTACTATATTGTTACATATCTTACAAAGATATGTGTAAGTTCAACCCCCGAACTTTATAAATCTGGAGAAATTGCCACGTTTATGTGTATGACGTCACAAGATGCGAATGACGTCATTCATGACATCACAAATGACGTCATGTGTATGTAAATGACGCAAAAACCGGAAATGACGCCAAATGTATGGAAATCATTATCAACATCACTCGCAATTTTTATTTTTCATGCGCGCGCATACGTAAGCAACGCCTGCATGTAGATCGACAGATCGAGGAAACGCGACATAATTCATTGAAGGTTTCTTTTTTCAAAATAAAAATCCACAGCGATGGTTAGTAATTATTCTATTAATCTATAATTTTAAGAAAATATTGTGCTATCCGGGAGGTTCGATCTGAAATGCTAATCCGTTCACGTCACTGCAGAAAACAGTAGGCATGATTTTTACAGTACTGGGATGTACTGGAAATCTGATTCCTCTAAATCCTTTATTGATATAATAGATTCAATTCAAAGCATTCATAATTAAAATAATTAATTAAATAGGCAAATTTATGCATTTACAGATTTACTCATATCTTGGGCTACCTGTGTTCATGTCTGACATGTCACGCAATCGTATCGATTTGTGAACTGCTCTTTGTGACTTGAAAACTCTACTTTTATTATATCGCTTGGGATTTATTCACCTATTAAAGCCAAAAATAACTGAAGAAAAAAGTTGAAAGAAAGAAGATAACATTTTAATAACATATTTGTGATTATCGGCATTTGAATATTGTGTGTCTAGTCAATACGTCAACTGAATGACACGTGTAAGATCAAGAACTTCAAGGCAAAGCGAACAACAAATGGAGGATGATTTGCCAATACAAGCTAGTCTTCAACTCGGGCAGCCAAAAGATGAAAGCTTTCTAGCGACGAAGTTTCACTGGTCGAGAAACGATCGCCCAAAATGGCTGCTTGTTCTGTTAGCTGGTTGTATGTCGTTGTACATGACAAGAATTATTATGCCTCTTTGTGTTGTATCTTTGGCTGAGGAGCTACATTGGGACAAACGGCAGTCTGTAAGCTAATTTTAATAATCTAACACTACTGTTATTGTTTGGGTTTAAGCTTGATTAAATTTCTGATAGATGAAATGTACATGTAAATAAACACAGCAGACGTTTTTTTAAGTAGTATTATTCAAGTCAGAATTTATGATTTTTGTAGCTTTAAAATTGATAAAGCTGTCSCAGGGTGGTGAAAAGCTAAAACACAAAAAATAGATATTGTTTTGTCATGTGTGGGTTTGTTTACTCTGTCACGCCCTTCTGGAAGCAATGGTACACAATCAACCAGGAAGTATCTGGTTGGAGACCATGCACCATATCATACCACACAGATTCTGGTCTTCTACCAGAGACTTTGATGTTCTGTTGGGAAAATGAGAAAGATCAATGAAATGAACATGGATGGGATCGTCAGTCTGTTTGCATTATTGCTTTTATTTGTTTATTCTGTCCCATTCATTTAGATATTTTTTWAAAAAATTGTYGTTTCCTGTTTTTAAAGGGATACCAACAACTACAAATTAAAAAAAAGAATAAAAATAACTAGGTATAAGGTATAATTCTTGATACTGAATTAAGGTTTTCTTGTAATAGGGTCTTATCCTGTCATCGTTTTTCTGGGGATACCTTATCACTCAAGTTCCTGGAGGRTTTCTGAGTGATGTCTATGGAGCTGAAAAGCTTGTGTTGTGGTCAATAATTGGTAGTTCTGTTAGTACGTTGGCCATTCCTCTTGTCACGAGCCAGTCATTCTCCACTGCAATTCCTRTTGTATCTCCTATTATTATTATTGTAGCTGTGAGAGTTATGTTAGGATGTTCTCAAGGTATGTTCAGTGACCCTCATTTTATATAGGTTAAGCATGACGTTCACAGCAAATGGCAGATAAGATCAGGTGACCTGCTTTTTTGGGGTTTAAAGTTGTAGTTGCAACACGAGATTGGGTTGTTTTGGTGTTGCCATAATCATGAAAAGTCTCTTATCTTTCAAATGTCTACCAAAAGCACAGGATCATTGGCATAAATTTCTTATGTAGGTCATTGGTTCAGCTCTGTCGTTAGCCGTAAACGTGATGCTTAAAAMTCTAATGACAGGAGTATAAAGGGGAATCTGGAGTTTTAGAAAAAAGGTTTTAAAAAGGGATGTCTAATATTTGTAAAAATCTTCAAATTAGAGATATAGCCACCATTAGTATTTTGTTTTGTATACTTTGAAATAATATTGTTTGTTTGTTTGCTTGTAGGAGTATTTTACCCTGCATTATATAGTCTCATTGGGAAGAGTCTACCCGTGAATGACAGATCATCTGGTTCAGCAAGAGCATCAGCAGGAGGTCCCATAGGGTTAGTAGTTTCTGTGTTTTGTGTTAGCTGATGGATTGGGTTACTTGTAGAGATTTTTACTAGCCTTGATGCTGAAACAGCAGCGTAGGAAATAGCTTAAATTATTTGTCTTTTTAGCAAGTCAACATGGATGAAGGGATAGAACTGCATTGCCTGGTTTATTGTTTGCTACATTTCTCTATTTTCCAGGAGTCTTCTCATGGGCAGCGTGGGGTCTGTGATGTTAATGACTTATGGCTGGCGTACAGTCTTCTTTGTTTTTGGCTCATATGGACTTTTCTGGGCCGTTTTATTCTATAAACGTTTTATAAATAAGAATCTAGCAGTTATTAACATGAATGGAAATGTAAGAAAAGAAAAGACTACAACGCTAACCAAAACACCAAAAACAGAAATWATTGTACCATGGGGAAAGATCATGAGGGAACCAGCAATATGGTAAGATTATTTTACATCTTTTATCAATCAATCATTCATTCATTCACATAATCTCTCCATCAATCAATCAGTCACTCCATCAATCACTCCATCAGTCACAATCAATCAATTAATCACTCAATCAATG